AGGCTTGGGTGTAACCCTACTCTGCATGATTCATTCATTGCAACTGCACAGCTGCATCAGTCAAGCTTCAGCTGGTTCGTAGGCGGCCATTTAAAAGCTGCTTTCATTGGTCAGGTTGTAGCAGGGGTCCAAATGATGGGGTTATGATTGGTCTCCAGTGTTTTGGGGGCGTTTTTTGTAGCAGGTCCACTGGCGGCTACTTACGAGAGACTAGCCTAGGTTGTCGCGCGCGCGTTCCTTTCGCTACCATGTGAGTCTAAGGACCCTCGGATGGGGCTGGTGGATCAGGGACCGGGTAGCAATCCAACTGTTGGTTCACGTTAACACCGGATTCAGGGGCATGCTTGGGGAATTCGGAGTGGGTGGGAGTGGGTGGATCTCCTGAAAGGTTTTAATATGAGACAGGGGATGGTGAATAACCGTAAGCTGAGCTGATTGACTAGTATTCTTTGGTCATTCTTACGTCGTTGAGCTAGACTGTCTGACTAACAGGGATGGGGTGAGACTGGATGAGCAAATAGCAGAATGTCTGGTAAAAGTTGGCCAACCTTGACGGGGCAACCCAGTTGCCTATCGGAAGCTCGGGAGATGTTCTAACTGTATTCTGTATAGTAGTATAGTACTAGTGATCGAGTAGGGCTGACGCTTGCGGACATTGGCCCCATTGACCAATCAGAGCACGGAAAACGTGACAGTTCCGTTTTGGGAATGAGCATCCTTCTGGAGCCGGCAAATATGATGTGTCACCCTTTTTATTTTTATGTATATCTAGTCACATTGAGACATTGGTGAATAGTCTCCATGTGGGGAAATAGCATAATTTCAAGTTAGAATTCTTGTTTTCGTATGTCAACTAGTAAGATTCACAACACATGCCTTGTGCCAGCCATACAATGGCAGTTCTCTTCACCCAGATCCATACATTCCGATTAGCATAACCATAAAAGCTTGAACTATCTTTAAACAAGAGAACTATCAACCTATAACTCCAACCCACAATACCAATCAGTCTATTGCCCAGAAACCAGCACATCAAATTCTACTTACATCCATGCTTCCTCACCACGAATGCGTACAATATGTAATGAAATAACTCGGCCACTCATCCACATCAATCCACCGCTTACACTCATCCGGATCGAAGTCCGGATTGCCCCACGCCGCCAGGCACGCCGGGTGCTTATCATCCGCCCAGCTATACGGATAGATCTGCTGTCGCGGCAACACCACCATCTTATCAGCCTTTGCCCCAACCTCTTCTTCACTGCCCTCTGGTCCACAGTACAGGTCCCACGCAGGTGACCACCGCCGCACCGTTCGACACACATGCGTCCGCACCGGACTATCCTTGAAGTCCTCGTAATACTTGTGTAGCATAGTACCGAGTGCTCCAGGCCCCGTGAGTGACTCAACAGATCCATCGCCATTCCCGTTGGGATTCTCAATCACGTGGATCACAGGCAGGAGCCAGAAAGGGTGGCCGGGGGGTGATGCCATCCAGCCATTAGGAACGGCGGCAGGGCCATCCAGTCCTTCTTTGTGTGCCATGTGGCCGACAAAGCCGCGCTGCGTGCAGTCATGGTCGTCCTTGCGTGGCCCGGAGGAGAGGATCTGAGTGTGCTTGGCGAGGGTGATGGAATGGCTGGTGAAGAGAGGCTCCACGGGCCGGAGAGCTTCTGTGTCGACATCGGCGTACATTCTAAAGGTTACAGCTGTCAGGCGAATGTGAGGTTTATGGTCTTGGTGGTGACTTACCCTCCGAATAGGTACATGTAGAGGTTGCGCACCACATCTGCTCGATGGATCTCCTTGGGGAGACGGTTGTAATCTGTCAGGAACCAAGGGAAGTACTGTTCCACGAGCATCCGGTTCGTCTCGTCATCCCATAGTACATATTCCCAATCTGCATTCTGCGAGCGCATTGTCTGTACCCAGGTTTGGGCATCGTCGCTCATGTTGCTACCGGCAGGGAACCACGTCTGATGGATAAGCTTAGGGATGGTGGTGAGATCTTGGGAGAGCGGACGGGCGAGGAGGTCTCGTGCTGAAAGGGTGCGAGCATAGTGGTCTTTGAAGGGGGCCTCATAGTTGGTTGGGAGGACATCAAGATGGAAGAGGTAGGAGAGGAGAAGAACAATGGCAAGGGCGAACGAGAGCTGGAATCGACGCCGGTTAAATTGGGATGTGAGCCATTGCAGGCAGGATCCTCGAGGAGATGATTGAAGTATCATCAGGGCGATTTGGCAAAGATTCCGAATTTTTGGGTAATGATCTGGCGATAATGTGGTTTGGGGGTTGTCATAGAAGAGACCACCCTGGAGTTGTTCTCGCCTCACCCTAGATAGAATCTTGGACCAGGGCCAGGTAATATGGACATGGTCTCATGTACAATGGCAGGGTGGGCATTGGTGGATCAACAATATTCGTATTCAGTGATGGGGTCGAGGCGGACATGTCTTACTTGGACCAGGTACCTCAGCGTCACATCCACTGATGCTCCATTGCCGAAAACGTTCATCACACGAATACGACCCACTCTCGCCTACTGATCGACCGGCCGGATGGTTCCTTGATTTTCAAAGAAATTGAAAACTTACCTCGAGCGACAGGCACAAGGGTAGGGAATTCGGGAGCCATATTCTCTTTTCGACAACTTCGATTGAGCCTTTTGCTCAATTTATACTGTTCATATGAGACGCTGTAGATAGTATTGTATTTCAAGTTATGCACTTATATCTCATCTTCTAAGCAATCTTTAATCCAAGCTTGTCCAAGATATTGCAAACAGTATAGTTATATGCCACATTTTCTGTGAATAGATAAACTCAAACACGAGCATATGTACCCCAATCCCACTCCCATCCTAGTACAATCCACCCAATGCCAACCGCCGCGCAGTATACACCTTCAGGTCTCAGAATCATCATGTTTGATGCCTCATAATTATCTTCATATACCTGCAGAACGTCAGTTATATCAGGGGATCGAGAAAGACAAGGGTACTTACAAGCTCATTCCCGTCAAAGCCATCAAAATACCTGCGACACTCTGCCGCAAAATCTCATGATCACTCAGCACCCATCCCAGCCCTACAATGATGCACGTCTTGAGCTGTCCGATCACCGTGCTTGTAACCGGCCCAGCAGCATCAATTATATAGAACTGTGACAGGTTCACCAGACAAGCGAATATTCCACTCTGCGAAGCATAAATCAGCCACTTCTCTACCCTTATTCCTTGTCAAACAAAGAAACAACCAAGTCAACTTACCGCAAGTATCGAAGTCCACAACGACCCAGGAACAGTCGCAACCTCCGGAAACGTCTCCATCCACGGAACAACACACAACAGGACAGCCGCGCTGACAGGGGCCTGATTGAGTAGAAGCTGCATACTACTCATCTCCAGCTTCTTATGATACCGGCCCACCAAGACCGTGTACAGTGCACTAGCGCACACGCCCGACAAAGCGAAGAAAATACCCTCTGGTGTCGTAGTATCGTTGCCTTTCGCGGTCGGTAGCGAATCAAAGTACGAGACAATGCCAACACCCGTGCAGAGTAGGACCAGGGGAAGGAACGCTGATCTGGGTATGCTGGACTGGAACAGCACAAAATTTAACAATGCCGTAGCAGGTGTAAGGAGCAGCCGGGCCAGCTGGTGAAAGATAACCGACGAATAAGCCAGAGCCAAGTTCTGAAAAATGACCTGGATGCACATAGCCGCAACAAGGTGGAGGATTCGGTAGGGTGATACGTGCTTGGGTTCGAACCAGCCGCAGAATGGCCGCGATGCTAGCCATAGTGTGAGTCCGGTGATGGTGAAATGGTAAGCAGCGAAGGATACTTGTGAGTTGCGAAAAGATGCATTGGAGAGGATGGATTTGTTAGTGAAGACCTGCTCGGGTGTGTCAGTAAGTATTACTATTGATCCTCATGTCTAACATGGCAAAAACTTACAATGGCAACAGTCGCGACAATATTAATTGTCATCCATACAAGAAGTCTAGCACTCCCTATCTGCTTTTCGGGCTCTTCAGACAACACCCCAGGCCTTTTTTCGTCCTCATATGAATAGTATCCCAGCTCAAGCTTCACCTCGTCCGATGATGGTGGTGGTGGTGGTGATGATGGTGGTGGTGGGCTTGCAGGAGTGCAACTTATCGAAGTCAATAGACCCTTGCACTCATCCTCCTTCAGGTTCGTTCCTGCAACAACCATATTGAAAAACCAGTATAGTATAATTGGATCGGTTCAATGTATCGTGTTGCTTGCTAGAGGGTTGAGGCTCTGCAATAAACGCAGCATATCATCCCCGGGTCCTGAAAGCTATGTATGCACCAGAGATCTCTATTTCAAGGAAGGAAAGAAACTCTACCACCATCCACTCCACTTTCTCTCAATGACATCTACCTTGGTTGGGTGGCGCTACAGGTCATGCCCAACAGGTCTACCTAGTACATGATGTGTAGAGTGACCCGGGGGTTGTGGTGCTAGAGAGAAGAACGCACTGAAACATCATGAGGCCCCACGACCCAGACTTGTGCGAGTGTGCTCTACCGTATCCAAGGGCACATGATTGAAAAAAGAACGGGTCAGAAAGGAACCTCGATGTTACACTTTATAGTTACTTCTCGTACTCGTGAAGTGCGCCAGGGGGGCGGGGAACCTGGATCGAAGCCGGAAACGGAAGTAAGATAGGGATGGTTGCGGGCACTGGAATGTGGGTTCGTACGGCTCCTGTAAACCTTGGGGAGAGGGGGGGCGGTTCCTGTTTCCGTCAGGGACCAGACTTTGTATGCTTAGACTTTGAATTTTGCGGGAACTGAGCTTGGGGGTTCTCCGTTCACTTGGTTGGCTTGTTGTGGTTGGATGAGAGATCTATCTGTTGTACGGGTCAGGTTTCATGGACTGCGCAGCAAGAGCGATCTGGGCCAGGCTCTTCTTATCTATTGGGGACACAAAAGCCATAGCTAAGGGTTAAACAAGGGACCGTACATTCTTGGATATAATTACTATAAGTCACGCTAGCAAATATGTACCAACAAGCTCAAGAAACTAGATAACCCCTCGGGTACTCGAACTCCTTCCAATCCAACACGCGCCGCGACCAAGGAAAACCCTCATCATACTGGGCATAAACAGTATCCCTACCAGCCACCAGTCGATGAATATTCAGTCGGGTGCTGTACATGAGGTTCCAGGCCTGTGCCTCGTGCCACTCGTCGCTGCCTTCACGGATGTCCGAATCCTTTGACGCAAGACCGGCCGCCTTGTACGTCCCGATGATGTTGGGAAACGGCGCATAACACTCGATCTGCGAACGGCCATCCTTACCGCCACACATATCAGCCATGGAGTTATCCACTGCGGCCACGAGCCGATCGACTGCTAAGGCTGCTAAGATCCTCTCTGCGCCTCGCTTGGTCACCGCGTACCCATAGGTGCAGCAGCCCATATCGGCCCGATAAATGAAACGAGTCGACGTCTCAGGGTAAATCTCCTTCCAGGAGTCGAGGGGGCCGCCCCATGTACCACGGTGTTCGACACTTGGGGCAGTTGGGTCATTTGGAATGGCATAGAATTGCGTCTCGTTAGGAGCGGCAGATGAAGCGCACCCGCCTACCCAGAGGATGTCCCAGTTGGTGCCGTATGGAGCGCTCTTGGTCGTATTGGCATTTCTGGTTAATGCGCGTACGCCTCGGGCAAATTCGCGGAGTTGTTGCCTAATGCTAACGTCCCAGTCTGCGTCGTCTTCAAGGATAAGTGCTGTTGAGTAGGAGTTTTGGACCATACTATATCATGATAATGTCAGCTTATATCAGGATAGGGTGTTCGCATTGACGAAGGAGCATACTGACTTGCTCAAAGCGTTCATGTGAGCGCGCCAGCATCCTATCTCGGATGGTGCTAATAAGTTATCCTAAGAGAGGTGTCAACTAGGGTCATAGGTCTCAGACACAAAGCAGCGTACATTGAGCAGGGCCTTCTCGCTCATGTCCTCTGGGTGTACCCCGTCTACCCATTCGACCCGAAACCCGGCTATCGACGCGGCGAGGTTGAGAAAATCGCGCTTATCTGTTCGTTCTTTCAGTCCAATGGCGTAAATATGTTCAAACTGTCGAAAATCATTAGCACGTACGCAACGGGCATCATCAGGAAATATCAAGCAGAACAAACCCCAAGCGTTTCATTTTGAATATGCTCCAGCGCCCGATCCTCCAACGTGGACCGCGCGATCCTCACCCAGTCCTGTTTCCAATACTTCTCCCCCGTACCACTGAATAAAAGAGTGAGAATAATATAACTGGCGAATGCAGCGACAATGTATTTCGTGAACCTGGATTTCCCCCGAATCATGCTGAGAACTGGCGCCAGTTGAAGATGGTCTATAAGGTAAGAGCAGACATTGAAAAAGGTGAAATATCTCGCATTTCGCAAACTGCACACTTCTTGAGCCTTCTGGAGAAGTTTCTTGGTAATCATGCGTCACTATTTTGGGATTATATGGGTAAACCTTAAGAAAGAAAAGCTGGACGTTTTGGGTTGTATCCACATTCTTTGTTCAGGAACGGCAGGTTGGTACGTAGAAGCATCTTTCCCGAAAACGGGAATCGTCACTCCGGCATGGATACGATGTAGTGGAGATTCAAGGTAGCCCCGCAGCAACAAAAGACTTTCTTTTAAGTTTATGAATGAGGAACCGGTCGCCTAGGGATGGATCAGAGATGGCCCTAATAATAGCCTTGGGAGTGGTCTCGAGCCATAGGATCATTACACCACCAAACAGGAAACAATATAAAACATTCTCTGTCCAGTAACACTATCATGTCTCGGCCAGAAATTCCATGCATTGATCCACTCTTCTAGTCGGTGTAAATAGAACTACAAGCTACTAGCTTCGTGGTTATACGAATTGACAATTATATTTATCGGGATTCATAAATTATCATTAAGGTACATAGTATAAAGAAATGCAACTTAAGTCCCTAGTGTATTATTCACAGCCATAAGATTACTTATGTTAACTGTTAGTTAGTTATCTTAATGTTTAGTTGATTCTTTGCAACTGAGAGGTAGTCGGAGGTATGCACAAGTTCTACGCGCTACTGCGTTCTTGGATAATCCGGCTCTACTTCGGGGCAGACTCGGCTTGCATTTACCAGGTTGGTGATTGGGATTAGATGAACAAGCATCTGAGAGAGGCCACCCCCGCGGTGGAAAGAGGTAGAAAGGAAATAAAGAATGCAAACAGTGCATATAACTTGTACCATGAAAAAAAAAAAAAAGGTGGGAAAGGGGAAAAAGAAAAAAAAAAGAAAGCCCCTGGTGGGGGTCACCCACAGCCTTAAGATCTCAATCTAGCTGCAGAGATAGTTAGTAACGTGTATGCTGTAAAGGGGTCCTCGGGAGTACTTGCAAGTCTTACGCGCTACCGATTGCGCCACAAGGGCCACTTGTGTTGAAATGACTTCACAATTTTGTACTGTCACCGCATTGGGGTTATGACCCACGGATACCGCATTTTCTTGTAAATTTCACAGCACCTCCGCCAAGAATTTCCCATTGCGATCATACAAACATCGTGTTGCGGGTGGTGTTTATGCTTATTAGAGAGCATCCTAGAATTGCGCGATCTGAATTGAAGTTGACCTGATTCGGAAGCCACACTATATAGATAAGATAAACTTTAACTGAATCATATTAAAACCGTTTCGATCGAAGGATTTCCTATGATGTATCTTACTCCTAAGTACCAACTTGGCTCAGGGTAAATTCACTTCGAGCCAGTCATCCAAGCAGATGGAAGGTGACTTTCCACCATCTCAAGCCAGACAAAAGTATCTGTCACTCGCTTCAAATCCTTGGTAGTCTGAACTATGGAAATCATGTCTGCCACCTTCTCTCCCTTTCCAACCCCCCACATTAGATATTCTAGTCTAGTAGCGTCGATATAGTTGGGAGTTGAACGCCTTTCACTGTAGAGATGGTAGTAGTAGACATGGATGTTGCATGCTATTTGGATAATAAGGAATATATCTACGATCCCATCTACGCCTTTATCTTTGGCTGACGGATCATACAATACAGCTGTGCTCATTAGCCCACCCACACGGCGACATAAGAAACCCAACCAAAGCTGAAAAGTCTCACATACCTTGCATTTATCCTTGCCGTCCACACACTCAATCTCACTGACCATCTCGAACCCCAATTTCTCATAGATCATCAGGTTCGGGAACCCCTTGGAACTTTCCAAGTAGCAAGGCATGCCCTCTCGGTCAGCTTGTTGACTGACTACCTCGACCAGTTTCCGACCCAGCCCCATTCCTCGCATCGAGGAGTCGACCGCGATCACATTGCAGAAGTAGTAGCCGCGGGGATCAGTCCAAACTCGGTCGTGAGTCTCCTGTTGTCGGGCTTTCCAGAGCCAGTAACGACGGACGTTAAGGCCACCTCGGCCACCGAATCGGATGTTATTGTACAGCTGGCGGAAGGAGAGGATCCAGTCTTGCGCCCAGACGGACCAGGGGACAGGCTCGGACGGGGGTTGCGGGCTGTACCACCAGCAGACTCCGACGACGGGGGAATCGGTGGGAATCTTGTCTCTGGGGGTGGTGGTGGTGTATTTGGCCACGAAAATAGGCTCGTTGCAGGAAAGGCCGTATAGGAAGTGTGCAGCAAGAGAGGCAGCGTTGCGGTGAATGTTGAACTGTTCATGACTTTGTTTAGTCTTATTTATATGGTAGAGTTGGGACTGACAGTGCAGAGTAGGGAGCGGGATTCTACATGTACAACTCTAGCTCAGTCTGTACATCGTTTGAGGTACCTGGTATCTCTAACCGAGATTGGAAGGTCCTCGAACGGAGGGCTACTTACCCCGGATTTATTGTTGAATACCCAGTGAAAGTACGGGTCGTCGGCGAACGCTTTCTGTATGCATGCTACGGCCGAGGGAATGTCCTCTTTTGTGAGGGGAAGAATCTCGATGGCCATATTGGATTTGTTTGTTTGCTTTGTTCTCGAAATTGGATTGGGCTTGTATTGGGGAAGATATTGAGTTTATGATGTATGATTCAAAAAACGTATTTGATAAGTGCATTCAATTCCTACTGGCTCTGCGAATAGGTTGCGAAAGGGCAATAGTATATGCGTGAGAATGACGACGGAGGGGATAAAGAGAGAGCGCCATCTATTGATGGGAGCCGAGATAGACGGACAGGTCGAGAAGGGAAAGCGCGGGTGAGTCGCGAGAACACCGACCAGATGAGGTCTTTGATGGAACTGTCAGTTAAGATTGATGAGAAGAAGGTGAGAGACGGACTGTGAGAGGGCATATTTATCTGGGTTTCCTCCCTTTCATGCTGCCACCCTCCCTTCGTTCCCAAATAGGCAAGTCCTACACCGACCCCGTGACAGCACACGCTAACTTGGTTTGGTAGTTCGATGCGGCGCCGCCCGGCTCTGTTATCCCCCTTCCCCACCAATCATATTCCCAAGATCGTCCACCATTGACGATCGCCAAGCCACTAGACGCGATTCGGCAGGTTGTGCCGGAGGATCAGCTGGTCGGCAGGGCTTATCGTGTCATGGGGATAGCTTCACGCACGGGGAAGCTGCCATCTACCGACCCTACGATAGCCGAGTGATGAGACGAGTGGCATATGAGATATAGCCGAGTTTGAATAAACCTTATAACGGGTTACGGAAGGGTACCTTAGAAGACAAGACTATCAGATCCGACCCACCTTACCGTGGCTGGGATATGGGCTATCGATAGTGCAATAGCCCCATTTGTGTTGCATAGAGCAGTGCTGGTTACACCGTGACAGATAACGTGTGTTGTTGGCTTCCTAAAAGATCGATCACTTGAACTAGTCTTACATACAAGCCGAATATGGTAGATTTTGACCTATAGACCCAGTTTGCGCTGGTGAAGGTACCTTTCTTTCTTTCCTTTCTTCTCGCATTTTTCATGACAAGCAGAACATTCAGGGTTGGGTACGGAGTAACAAGCTTTATTTTCTTGCTGACACTCGACAGCTACCCAAGGGGAAGGCCAGCCGGCCCACTTCTACTAACGGGGACTATCCCCACTATCTACACGGCAATAATAGTGGTACTTCGGTTACTGCATTGCGTACCTTTCTCTATAAGGCAAAGTCTTTCTCTTGACCTAGCTAGCGACTCTGGCAGTTCCGGTCATCCATGGCAACGAATAGATCGTGTCGGTCAGGCCAAGTTGCCCCACCATCCAGGGGTCTTGCAGGTGGATATCTCGCTACTCGGAGTAGACGAGTTCTCTAGTTCTCGCATATTAAATGCTAGAACAGCTCGAAGCAACTACAGAATACACCGATACTACACAAAGATCCCTAAAGCCTTAGATTACTAGGTACCTGCCGTACTATCATCAATATATTTTTCAGTAGTAGCAACAGCAGTAGCAACAGCGTGTAGCCACTTGTCAAGCATCATTATAGTCCTGACATCACTGCGATCAACTATCTACTTGGCGCGGGTCCGACGCTTTTTGTTGGTAGCAGTCCTCTCCGCCATATCATCGTGCCCATCCGGTGCATTTCGTGCTCCACGACGCCCTCGTTTGGGGCGCGTCTCCTTTCCTGTCGTCAGATTTGATGGTACTGGGCTCTCCAATGACCCATCTGCAGCTGGATCATGCAAGTGACTATCTATGCCAATTGAATCAGCCTGTTCCACAGATACAGCTTGCTGCCGGAGTCGACTAAATGCTTTCTCCATCCTTGTCTGTCCACCACTGCGGACACGCGGTGCAAAAGCACCCGCTCCTTGCGGACCGCTGAAGAAACTCGTAATATTCGATTGTGTGCCCTCCTGCTCTCTGCGGTTCATATCGCGAATTACGGGCACCAGCACCTCATCAGTGCGTTCTTGACTCCAGCCAATGGTTGACATAAGGAAGTCCCTTAGACCATGCAAGTCGGGCACTCCCCACTGAAAGGGAGACGGGTCCGAATCCACCTCTGGTTCCAGGTACGCGGCATCGACTCGGGGATCGGGGAAAGATGGTGGTAGGAAGATTTTTGTAGCATGCTTTTTGAACTTCTTGTAGAATGTTGCATGGCTATCGTTGCCCATATTGAGTCCTGTCTGCACCTGCGTCCACCAATCACGGAATTCTTCCAGTGTCCCGAATTCAGTGAGGATCTCTAGAGCAGTTACAGGTCCGATGCCGGGGATTCCTTCTGTGTAGTCGCTCCCTAATAAATGGGCGAGCCTGATGAGTTTGGTGCGGAACAGAGAGTACTCTTTCTCTAGGTCAGTCGTGAGGTAGCATTCAACAAACTTGCTTTGGTTGAACATGTTTTTGTAGACGCGTGTGCCTCCAAATAAAAATACATCACTATCATCGGTGATGATACCATCAACAAGGCCAAGTGACACCAATTCTGCACACTGGGCTTCAGCCTCCATAGGGGCCGTGACGTATGGAAGACCGAATAGCCTCAGCAACTGCTGGCATTCAGTAATCATGACTTGTGACACTTCGTCTGCATCTCGGCGGTCCTTCTTTTGCTGAGACCGCAACTGTCTTAGCTCTTGCTCGTAGTCAAATGGAAGTTCGGTGTGAGAAGTAGAGTTTAGTGTCGCTGCAAAGCGTACATGCTCTTCCCCTTCAGCCGCAAGCTGTTCGAGTAATTGCTCGTCTTCAGGATCTGAAAAATCGTCATCATCATAGTATTCTTCCACTTGGTCTGATTGATCTAGGGTAGTTGGTTCCGTGGGTATGTTGTCTGGCTGTATGACAACGTCCTCGAACTCAGGCGATGGCGACGTTTCGGGGTGCCTCAAATCTGTTCCATCATCAATGGAGGTTTGCTTCTCCGTCATAGATGGATTGGACGCATCCACTGGAATGATATCTCCTGTATGTGCTTCCAAAGCTTCGGCGTCCTTTGTTTCAGTAGCTTGTGCTTCGACAGGAGTTACTTGTGGTCCAACCTCGAATTTGATTTGAGATTCTTGACCACCACCGTTCAATTGAAGAGTCGGCTCTAAGTCAATGAATGGTTTTGAGCTTTTTGAAGCCCCTGAATCATGGTCCCCCATCCTTTCTTCATCGCCAACGATGAACACGTGATCTGGTACATCCTGCTCACTAGGCGGCTTCACCACTGGACGATGGTGAACCTCATCACTAACGAACTCAGCATCCTTGACACTCTGCGATGGCCCTGAGAACCACGGCGGCAGTATCTGGATATCCTTCGTCTTATTTGATCCATTGTCGGAATTTGTTGCACCAGCTTCTTGTTCAACTGATTTACCACGGTTGATTGACTTTCCAGCTTTGAACGGTTTAAGTGATTCAAAGGGTAGCGGACCATCGAAGGGGTTACCTACCACTTTGGGCGGTGCTTTCTTTACTCTCTTAGATTGTGCTAAGGCGGCGACAAAGTCCATTCCTTCATCATCACTATGATCCGTAAGGTCTGCGGGGGCCTCGTGGATAGATGGAGGCATATAGTTCTGGTTAAGCTGGATTTCAGGTAGATCATCATCGTTGGTATCAGCATCGGCACCAACACCAGATTGGAGAGACATCGCGATCGCTCGTTGAAGCGTTTCGTCATCATCATCTCCAGTGGCATTGAACAATGTATCTGTGGTATGGTGGTTATGCTTCGCTAGTTCGTTCTGACCACCTTCCACGAAAAGGGAGTCATCGTTGACTTCCTGCAGCTCGGGGCCTCCTGTATCCAAGCTATCACGCATCTGGTTCCTGTTTGATTTTTCGAGAACCCCTTTCTGGAGGGAAGGCAGCTTAGGAAGTCGGTTCAATCCTTCGATAGGCACATCTTCAAAGCCACCATCATCGTCATCCGAATTATCCTCTTTGTCAGGGAATATCAGCTGCTGACCATACTGATCAACATCGATAGGTTTGTCCTCCTGGCCTTCTTTGTTTCCCACAACTCCCAGAACCCAGCCCCCTTCAATGGTATCATCCTTCACCAAGACATACTCCTTCCCGCGTTCTCCGGCAATACGTTGTCCTGATTTGTACAGAGCATCTTCACCATTCATGCCGTTGATATTCATCAGTCGTTGGGTTAAGTCATTGCGCTCCTTTACACGCTCGATTTGAAACTTCGAGAATGCCATTCTATTAGGAAACATGCTGTCTAGTTGCTCCTTTGAGTACCCCATCCGGAGACGGCTTCGGAGTCTGGCCGCGTTGAGGATATTGTACCGGTCCGTCGCCGGGAGACTGACGAAGAATGGGCTATCAAAGTCAATTTTCGAGAAATCATACAAGTTGATATCTTCTCCTTGATGGAATTGCCTCGCATATTCCTCCAATTCTTCCTGTGACATGATGCGAGGGTCATTGGGGGCCCCCATCTCTTCAAGGCTGGTTTGTAAATCCGGCAGATGATAGGCGTCTTTCTTCTTGAATGACCGCGTCTGCTTCTTTTCCTGTTCGGTTATGAAAGCATCACCAACATAAACAGGGTTGTCCGGCACCTCCTCTTCATTTTCCGTTCTCACCCTCCGGCGGATAGCCGCCTCTTCCTCAGCAGACCTTTGCAGCTGCACAGCCAGCAGCTTTCCAGCGGTCCGCACGGCATCTTCCCGCCGACCTTCGCGCCGTTTCTTCCGGTTTGCTATAGTCTGGCGCTTGAGGACCGGAGCGCCACCATCAAACACGAAGACCGGCTGGATTCCGAAGTAGAGTAGCTTGCATATGCGGCGAAAGAAGCCCACGATATGAGAGTTTCGGAGGGCATTGCCTTCTTTGTCGCGTACCGCCTTCAAAAATTGGTAAATCCATATTGAGGCATCGACAGCCAGGCGCTTTTTATTGAGGGTTTCCAATTTGATGGGCCGTGCACAAGGATGTACGACCGTCCAGAGCCCATGGACACCCATGCTGCTTCAGCAGTCCCGATATTATGGGCTGTGACAGCCGTACCCAAGTACCGAATACTTACACGTCATATACGTTGTATGAGATGAAACCTACTAGGCGATTGTTTTGACGACTCCAGACGACGCGGGTCAACTGCAGTCGGGAGGCGTCGATGAGGTCATCGGACACTTTGTGACACGTGATACTGCCTGGTATCAAATCACGTGATTTATAATACCGGAGCCGACACGATGGCTTTCAGGGGCTGATGGATTTTTCATAAATGTATGTCAAAAGCAAACTTTGCAAGCTAATGGCGCGGGAATATCTAGAATCATGCAAAAGTAGCTCCCTCACAACCCCCATCACTGTGGTGACTCTGCTGGATTCATGAATCCGGCTCTCTTTTCCATGCGCTTCCGTTCAGCTGGTTAGTTCTCACCTGGGTGCGCTACTATGCCCTACAGCTTGTCTTTCCAGAATAAATCGATTATCCTTTCTGGTCCAAAGATTGAAAAATGAGTCCCACTTATCTTGATGGTGACCTTCAGTTCCACGTTCGTTTTCAAAACTTGTAGGATAGAATCCGTGAACCCTCCGTCTACAAGGCAGCCTGTAGAAATCAGTCATAATCCCTCCCGGACATTGATGACACAGGGTACCGCAGCCCAGCGTACAGCGATGGTGAGGTATTTGATTTCATGAAGTGCTTTGGCGCACTGTAAAAGCAAACCAGTAGATCAACGGTGTATGTCTTGTTCTATCGGGCGCGTGTTCTTGACTTCCCTTATGGAAGAACATAACTCTATGGTGGATCAGTATCGGGACTCTATGTATGGGCGGAGATGGTCGTGTTTGCAATCTAATTAGGAAATGTAGAAGTATAAGTCCGTAGACACAGTCAGGTTCGAAAGATGAGACCATAGAATTCAAAGCGACCATGGACATGGAGATCGGGTACTGTGCCTGTGCATGATGAATTTCCCATGATACATGTAATATTGCACACAAATCAATCATTCCACCACTAACGCCACGTGGCACCCGGGAATATCAAACTTAGCACTTGATTTGAGGGAATTAGAGGCCTCTGGTCCGACCACAGGCTGCGAATAAGTGATTGCTTTCTCCGATAGCGCACCAAAGAACTGAGGTACAACACCCAGGTCCTTCTCCGAGCCATCGGAAGAGCTGGGAATGGCCTCGGAATCAGCAACAATGCCGAAATCAAACCGGATGCTCCCCTCTTGACAAGAAGGATTCGGGGCATGGTCTGTTTCCACAGAAACAAAAAATTGAATATAGTCACCCGGTCCTGCAGCTTGACACAAACTTGACATACTTTCATCCAGTTGTGGCATCTCAAAGAACGCAGGCGGCGGGGTAGATATATCTGAGAGCGTTTGAGTCTCCTGGTCTGCGAAGATATCGTCTAGGCCCAGGAGCCCCTGATTATTGTCTGTTTCAATGAAAGTAGTTTCAGGGTCTAAAGATAGTAGGCCTTGTTTCTTTCCCCATCCACCGCCACCACTCATAACCCGATGGAGTTTGCCTCCTGCGCGGATTGCTTTTACAAGGCTCTCCTGCATATTAGCGTTGTTTTCCAATTGAAAGCCCCTTTCGGAGTTCTCAATCAGGGCCCAAACAGAAACCCTTCGGTCAACAATGCCGTGTTCCTCAATGTAGCGTGGCAGTTCTTTTTCCAGTTCAGATGAAGCTGGCATTGGTTCCGTTGATTGACCATCCAGATGTTTTGCCAACTGACGAAGGATATTTCCCATGCTTGAGATAACTTTCCTTCGTTGGCCAACAGGATAGAGCGGTAGATTAAATGAATTTTGGACGGATGCAACCGCTGAGGTCACCGTGCAATTCGAGAGATTCACTGATTGCTCTAAGGTATATTGCTGAGAAGGCGTATAAGTCCAGCGCGTGCCAAAAAGAGTGCTATCATTCCCGTTGATGAATATTGTATTGGCGAGACGCAGTCCGAGTTCATGAGTCGACCTCTGCAAAGCCTTGGAGTAAGTGTCGTTTTGAAGTGTAAAGACCAGACTGGACTCTGCAGCTTCCATACTCCGAACACGACGAGGCACAGCAATGGTTCCCTGAATATTTTCTGCCTTTACCAGCAAGAACGAAACTCCATCAGAGTCAGATGAAGTTTTGCTGTCGACAACCCCTTCGAGCCTGGCGCGGAGGTCGGGTAGCTTATCGACCACGGCAACAATGGCATGGAGAGGTCCTGACGATTCGCGGTTGGGTGTAGATGGATATAAAGAGTTGATCAATTGTTCCAGAAAGCGGTTCGATGACACATCAATCCAGTGGGCGAATGCAGAAGTGACTAGGAGGACAGGTACGTAGTTTAACGAGAGGGACTCTGGAATGGGAGATACGCTCGAAAGGACGTCATCTGGTGTCTCTTGAAACCCTTAGTTAATGGGAACGGCCATAGGCAGATAGCAATTCTCACAATTTGGCCCGGCGTTCTTGTTAGCCAGGTATATGCCAACGGAAGATCTTTAGCCTCAGTGCTTCTCGATGATGCAGCTGCGTTTTGGGAGATCAGTCGGACCAGGGATGTCGCTTTTAGTTTCGGTTCAGCATGTCCGACAGTAGCCAGCCGTACTGACAGAAAGCGCGGGACGCGCCCGAGTATTAAAGACATAGAAGCAGCATGGATATCGACACGGGACGGTCGATTGATACGAATAATAGCTGATTTGAGGTGATCATAAGGATTTGGGGAAATGCGGAGATAGCGGGAGAATTTCTGGCCTCCACCGCCCGGCTTATCATATCGACATGTGAGTGGCAGGATTCACGTGATGATATGGTGCTTCTCCACTTGCTTTCCTAAGAAATCTTCTGCCTTTCTTCGGCGTGTTGCGAAGGCAATAGGGCAAATGTTTAGAAAAGTCGCGGTTGCTTTGTAGACAGTGTGTTCGTGTTGTACGCGCAGTGAGGGCTCATGCGGGCCCCCTTATACTCGGTAGATACACATGCATACTTTGGGCTTGATTTAGTTCTGATGCATCTTGTATAGATCCAACGCGCTGCTTTCATATTATGCATCCAGTTGTTTGGGGCCTTATGCAGAGCTGGACGGAAGATCAGCCATGGGGAGCCCCAATCTGGTCTTCATGATGTCCGCGCAAATAAGAAAAGTGCTAGTTAGTTAATAATGATAATGATTAATAACACTACTCCGCAGATAGGCCCAACAAGGGACGGGAGGCAAACCAGGCCGATAAGCAGCCTCACGTGATGCCAGGGACTTGACCCGCCCCCTCACAGAAGTCCTGATCGATTATACTCTTGCAGGCAAAGAGACTTTGAATGCTTTTACTCGATGGCCGCTAATGCCCGCCGTACTACACGGCATCTTGAACCAGCTTCTTCAAGGAGCAGAGGATTCTTACTCTCCTCCTGACTCAGCGATCTAACGCTTGGTTCAGAACGGGTAATCCACTCTGACTACTTTCATGATGCCAAAACTGTGGTCTTGCGCCAGCTCGGCGAAGATGAGTATTCCAAGCAGAGTTATGCCGGCTTCTCGCGTCGCCAGATTAGCCATCTGGAACCACCGTAATCACAGCACCAATGTCATAGCGACAGCTACCCGATCCGAAGATGGGCTATCCTCACCGGCCCCCTCTACCGACTCCGTGCCGCCACGATGGGCTGCTCTAGAATCAGCGAAGCCCTTCTCGGAATTTCTGACAGATAACTTCAACCGCCAGCACGACTATCTCCGCATCAGTGTGACCGAGCGATGCAATCTCCGCTGTCTCTACTGCATGCCTGAGGAAGGCGTACCATTATCTCCACCGACTCGTCTCCTTACCTCCCCCGAAATCATATACCTCTCGTCGCTCTTCGTCTCGCAGGGTGTGACCAAGATACGTTTGACAGGCGGTGAGCCTACCGTTCGCAAGGATATTATTCCCCTCATGCAGTCGATCGGGGAACTGCGTCGCAATGGCCTTCGTGAGCTCTGTCTGACAACGAATGGCATCTCGCTACACCGGAAGCTGGACGCCATGGTTGATGCCGGCTTGACTGGAATCAACCTTAGCCTTGATACGTTGGATCCCTTTCAGTTCCAGATTATGACGCGACGAAAGGGGTTCGATGCGGTGATGCGGAGTATAGACCGGGTGGTGGAATTAAACAAAGCCGGGGCTGGGATCAAGTTAAAGATCAACTGCGTGGTAATGCGGGGGATCAATGATCGGGAAATCATCCCTTTTATCGAGTTAGGGCGAAATAACCCCATTGAAATACGCTTCATCGAGTACATGCCCTTTGATGGCAATAAATGGAGCCAGGGTAAGATGGTCTCTTACCAAGAAATGCTGGCAACCATCCAGGAGAAGTACCCCACTCTCCAGAAGGTGCCAGATCACAAGAACAACACAAGCAAAACCTATCAGGTTCCTGGCTTCAAAGGCCAGATTGGCTTCATCACCAGCATGACGCATAACTTCTGTGGTACCTGCAACCGGTTACGCATTACATGTGACGGGAACCTGAAGGTCTGTTTGTTCGGTAACGCCGAAGTGTCCTTGCGAGATATACTTCGGAAGGAAAACAACGGAGAGCCCATCAGTGAAGCAAGGATGAAGGAGCTGGAATCGGATGATCTTGTCCGGAGAGAGGAGCTGCTGGATCTCATCGGAGTAGCGGTTAAGAGGAAGAAGGCAAAACACGCTGGCATGGGTGAGCTCAAAGATATGAAAAACAGGCCGATGATACTTATTGGTGGGTAAGCATGGATCTGTCAAATATCTTGGTATGATTTGTCTTTCTTTTGGGATGGCCACTCCTTGGGCTGGTGACACGACTTATATGAATCATGAAGAGTGCATAATTTTCTTACTACTGGCAGACCAGGCTGATAGACATCAATTAGAAAGTAATCCATTCTTCACTATGAATGCTACTATATACTATGTAGCCATCCCCCAATTCACGTGACTGTTGTTGCCCATGACATGTTGCGGCCCCATCGGAGCTCCTAGTGTCTGTCACGTGGGCGCCTAGCGACTTTTCAGCCCAGTCGATCGATGGCCACCTCTCCATCTACAGACCGACGCATCCTCAAAGTCTCACCTCCGGGTCCGAAACTATGAGCTCCAGGACCTTGGTCGGGCTGCGATCGACTACATCGACACACCTGCAACGCAGCGGTGTTGCTGCCGCTACCGCCGTCAGCAGTAGTAGTACTAGTAGTAGTGGCAGTGCCCCGCGTCGATGTCTTTCCTCGGCTTCCGGTCGGCAAGTGCAGCAGAGTGCCGAGTTCTCCTCCAGCAGCAAAACTTGGGATCGTTTAGGTCGCCGCGCCAAGGAGAAGCTCCTAGACCGCGAATTCTTCCTCAGCTTGTTGAACTCAGCCTCAACCAAGCGTGAGGCCAAATCTTATTTGGCCCGTCTCAAAGCTCAACACCAAGGAACTACTCCCCTGAAGCCGGCCGCCAAGCAATCCGGAGTATCGGAAGCGACAGCACCAGTGTCGTCGGGTGCCAGTTCAACCTCATTCTATGGCGCCTCTCGATCGGTCTATGACAGTCCCGTCTTCAGACATGACTCAACTCCAACACCTCCCCTTCAAGATGTGTCCGAGCGCCTGCACCTGGCCCTGGTCAAGATAACCACTCCGCAGCTTCTCGATGACTCGACCGTCAACGGCGTGGCCAAAACCCTCTCGCAGCTGAATCGTCTGGGAATGGCTTGTTGTGTGGTAGTCGACCCGGGCACAGCAGGCGATCCTAACAAACTGCGGAGGATTGCGGCCGAGCAGGCAGATCGCATCTCAACAGCTGTGGATGCCCAGCCGGATTCGAAATCAGCTCACATCGACTCTGTCCTATCCGTTTCTGCGCTGAACCCTGAGGCGCCCAGAGTCCTATCCCGGAAGGTACTGCTCGGGCCGTTGCGCGATGGTCACGTCGTGGTCTTGGCCCCCATTGCTTACACAGAAGACGTTCCTCGAGCAGTGACAGTCTCGGCCAGCGATGCCATCCTGGCCCTCACCAAAGAGCTGGCCGGACTAGCAACAAATCCTGACCCTGATGAAGACCCAATACTGACGGCCCAACGGATCGCGGCCCTGCAGGAGGAAGTGTCTTTGGATCGAGTTATCCTCCTGGACCCCTTGGGCGGGATTCCTGCTTTCAGTGGGCCTCAGACGTCCCATGTTTTTATTAACATGGAACAGGAATTCGACGATATTGAGAACGAGTTGCTGCGGGTGTGGCAGTCGGCAGCATCTGCAAAGAATAATCTTCCTGAGGAAGGTTTACCGTCCATTGCTGATAGCAATCCTCTCTCCAAATTCGCCGACACGGAAGTCGTCCCAGTGCCCCCTAGTCAGAAAGCGTACTCGTCAGACCTAACCTTGGATACAAGCATGGTGGAGGGCCACTTAGATAATCTGCGACTAAGCCAAGCCGCACTGGCGATGCTACCCTCGGCATCGTCTAGTATCATCACCTCCCCACTCGAAGTTGCAAATTCAGCACAGAGCCCCGGAGGCGCTAGTCCAGATGTATCAGCTGTTGGAACCCGACGACAGAGGAACCCGCTCATCCATAATCTTTTGACCGACAAGCCTTTGCTCTCGTCTTCTTTGCCCCTAAGCCGACGTGCAGCCCTAAATGGCAGAGGGGACTCGATTGTTACACAGGCCTCCCACACCACGTTTGTCAAGCGAGGCATGCCGCTGACCATCATTCCGAATCCATGGCTTTCACCCTGGACGGCCAGAGATCGGCCGCGCCTGGGGCTCGATGATCCCTCGATCGACCTGCCCCGACTGGTCCATCTCATCGAGGATTCCTTTAATCGCAAACTTGACGTACAAGACTACCTCAACCGAGTCAACGGTCGCCTGGCCGGACTCATCATTGCAGGGGAGTATGAAGGAGGCGCCATCTTGACCTGGGAGCTTCCTCCCGGCGTAGAGGATGATGGAAGTGAGGCGAGCCAAGCTCGCATGGTTCCCTATCTGGACAAGTTTGCCGTTCTGAAACGTAGTCAAGGTGCCGGTGGTGTGGCCGATATCGTCTTCAATGCAATGGTACGCTCTTGTTTTCCGAATGGCGTGTGCTGGCGCAGCCGCAAGGACAACCCCGTGAACAAGTGGTACTTTGAGCGCTCGCAGGGGACATGGAAACTATCGGATATGAATTGGACCATGTTCTGGACTACTCCAGGACTGACGGACGATTCCCAAAAGTTTCGGGATTACGAGGCCGTGTGCCGCAGTATCCAGCCGAGCTGGGCTGATGACACCGGTGTTGTGGATTGATTGATTAGCTGAACATATTCGTAACACATGTATATACCCATTATCCGCCTGTTCGTTCCAAGTGAAAACCTAGGTGCTTCATATCTTCTCGTAACGAGCTACATCAATTCCAACCTAAATCATTTCAAGTCGGATTCTCCGACCGTGGAAAAGTGGGATCATTATGATGCTCAGCGACGAGAAAGTGATCAACTGAGTAGAACCGTGAATAGCTTCAATAATGACTTACACGGCATCCAACCCGGATGTAACATACAAAAGGATCTCGATATACTGATTAACAACCGTGGACCTGTAGTCTACGTCCCTGCAGTGATTACTGATCGATCGAGAGAATCATAAAGAGCATACTACAATAGCAAAGAGTAAGGTAATGATCAATAGATTCTCCGAGCTGATGGTGCTTGTCATGTCAGTTCTATCAGCTCTGGGGGGGCTAAGAACTTAGTAGTACTTATCAATCAAACGGGGGAGGAAGATGGATGAATGATCCCATCCATCATGCCGAGGACCACTTCCAAAAGCGGACTAGTACTTATTCGTGCGGAGGTCTTCGTACACCAATTGGGGACACATGGTTGGTCGCCCTGGCTGACTCAGCCTCTTTCCCCCCACAGGGATTTTTTAGCAGATTCCGATAAGACAAGCAAGAATTTCGGCAATTAATCTCTCTCTCCTGGCCTTTTTCGATCGCGCGCTTCCAGAAACGCAAGGAGATCTTCGGCCTCCAGCCAGACAGAGCTGCTTGCTTCTTCCATCATCTTTCCAAATCAAACGGTGTGGGGTTATTCTTCTCAATGACTATGCACTTATCAGCGCTTCCTCGCGATTAGCATCCCCATCCTCCTCTCCTCCCCCTCCTCTCTCTTTTCCCCCTCGTCTTCCCCTCCCAGTCCCGAGAAATTCAATGCTCGCCCTCGGCCTTGCGATCTAGCCGGGTCCAACGAGTGTGGATGACTTGATTTGGCACAAAACACTGTTGAAACCACCGATCATCTTGCAGCTCCCCCTGATCTAAAATCCTACCCACCCCTCGGTGTTAGTCCGGCATTCTGACCTGTCATATTCGCCCAATAAAAAAAGAAATCAATCGCCATCGCTACCGCTTATGATCTTCGGTTTGCGCCAACCATAAGGAACAATTGGGGCGCATCATGCCGCCGACCACAGCTCCCACCACTGCCACACCGAAGCTGGCCTCTCCGGGTTTTAATGCTGGCGCCAGACCATACCGGTCACACAAGGTTAGGGCCTGCGACTTGTGCAGGAAGCGCAAATCGCGATGCACCGTTGACATCCCTGGTCAATCATGCCTATTGTGCCGCGTTCAAGGAGCGGATTGTCACTATCAAGAAGAGACCAATAATGATCCTCCACTCACTAATGGCCATGAATCGAAGCCGTGGGTCCCAGATCACACGCGCGTCTCGTCGCTAGGACAGAAACGGAAGCATACCCCAGACGCAATCGATTCCCCGTCGCACCCCAGCCGCCGCCGCGCTTCCAGCATCGCACATTCGGACTCAGCCCTAGACCGTCGGAGAAGTGATTCCAGGAGCCAAGGAGTCGATGACCCCCATAATGAGTCGGTTTTAATTGTTGGTCCTGTCGTTGCCGAGGATGCCCAGGTTATCGAGAGATACATGCCGCCGGAACGGACCAGCAAATCGGTCGAACCAAAAAGCCAGCCATACAACGTCTACTCGAGCGATCCTCGGAAGCCCATTCTTTACACTACTGTATCCCGGCGGAGGCAGGGTATGCGGGTTGGAGTTCCTCCCGGGGAAAATCAGAAGGAGATTCTCGAGCAGATCCTTGGCCCATTCAAGCGCGACTTAGTTAGACTGTACGCTTTCCTTTCGAACGGATCCCGAAGGTAGTTTGAGACACCATGCTAATTCTCCTTCTCAGATTCATCGACCGGTTCAATGCAGCATTTCCGATCTTTGATGGGGAAACTTTCTGGGAGGCGTTCTTGTCGGAGTCCCCAGGAGACCCGCCAGCGTCGCTCTTGTGCCAGGTCTATTCAATGTCGCTAGTCTATTGGAAACACACTCCCAAGCTGGCCTGTCATCCGAAGCCAGATCCCCGGTACGCGGTCAACATGACTGTCGCTGCGCTTCACGAAGAATTCTCGGCGCCTGGGCTCTCAACAGTCAGTGCAGCCCTCATCGATCTTACCGGTCGGCCCATCTTCTCAATGACAGGAAATGCCATCAGCTGCGGGCGCATGATTTCCCTTGCACATTGTCTCGGACTCAACCGCGATCCAAGTCACTGGAAACTATCCCGCCCTGAGAAGAACCACCGTATGCGGCTGTGGTGGGGCGTCGTCATCCATGATCGCTGGTAAGCCTACCTGACTTACGCCCATATATGGATTTGGCGTCTCACTAACATACACTCAGGGGGAGTTTTGGTCACGGAGTGCCTCCTCAGATTGCTAAAAATCAATATGATGTTCCTCTTCCAACGATTGAAGTTCTGATTCCCCAGGCTTCTCGAACCCCGGAGCGCGTGCGAGCTGCGCATTGCCACATTGCTCTGTGCCGGCTCACTGAGATCTTAGGCGAGCTACTACCCCTTGTATACGGCTTGCAGTCTCGAGCGCACCGCGAAACGACAAAGAAGGTGCGACAGATCCGCACGGATCTTGACGCGTGGGAGGACTCTCTCCCCGACTGGCTCCGCAACCCCATCAGCACGAATACCACGGAGGAGCGCATCTCCGGTACAAGCAGTCTGCAGCTCGGCTTCCTTGCAGTGAAGATGCTCGTCAGCCGTGTTGAACTCAACGTGTGTACCATTGGGCCCTATCTATTCGATTCGCATCTTTACTCACTTTGCCTAGGAGGTCAACAACGCCGAAGCAGATAATCCGGAGGCGCGCCGCTACTTCCAGACCGAATGTCGGCGATCCGCCGAAGAAATCGTGCAATTCATCTCATCCCTCCGGAAGCAGAATTTCCAGGAATTTTGGCTCCCATGTATGCCGCATCCCCAAGATATCCTGCATGATCCGGCATAGAAAATGAGAGGGCACTAACAACTTCACAGACAGCGCCTTCCACCTAACCACAACCGCCACCCTTCTCGTCCGTTGCGCCCTCGAAACCACCGACCCCGAAGTGGCCCGCTCTTGCCTAGCCAACGTCGAAACCTTCCGATCCATCCTCCGTCGTGTTCGCGAAGAAGAAGACTGGGACGTCGCCGACATGTGTCTCGATCACTGCGAGCGTCTCCTCAACCGCCTGAACAATAGCACCGGCACCACCACCAGCGCTGAACATCCGCCCACTTTCACAGATCTTGGCCAGCCACCGGATAGCACCCACCCTCATCGACTAGTGAACCCCGCCGCCATCGCCCTCCCAGAGACACAAACAAACAACGATATTGTCGACGACATGATGAGCATCTCCGGGACATTCGGCACGATGGATGGCTTTCCATTCGACATGACAGGGATATGGGATGTTTCCGTATTCCAGGATGTTAATCTGACATAAAGAGTGCCGCTCAAAAGAGGATATAATAATCGTCTGGCCGCTTGCTGCCATCCTCCTCATTTCAACTTAGGGAGTGAACTTTTTTTTCTAATGTTTGTATTTGGTCTAACCGGCTACAAGGGTTGTATTCAACAACAGTACGTGTGGATCGAACATAGGATGGTGTGTGTGGTTTTGTGAAGTTTTTATCTCATATACCCAACTTCGTTTGCGTCGTTTTGCGTGGTTTCTCTATAGGGGGTTGTGATTGAATAAATTTGGTGTCTGATTGTATATATAATACAGGATACAAGTGTCATACCGCAATGATAGTATTCATTAGTAGTCACAGTATACTGATGGAACTTACCAATGAATGTAATAGGCCTCGTACTAGTACCAAGATCTATGCAAAGGATCGCACGCGTATGCTAATGGATGGATGACAATACTGTTAGTTACTCGATTCTATAGTAGTAACTCTACTACGTATTGCTACAGCTTGTGTGTACCATTTGCCCGATTGCCGCTTTCGCCCGCCGTACAATTGCAAAATCTTGGTTTTACTGCCGGCGGCATAAATATGAGGCTTCGAGTAGATTTTATAAGACTCCAATTGGCCACCCAAACAGCCACCCAAATGACGCTCTAAACAATCTTCCAAGAACCTTTTAAACGATCTTCGAAATTATCTTCCAAGTAGTCCTCCAAGCAGCTCTCCAAGCAGTCCTTCAAGCAGCCATCACCTGGCTGGTGTGGCGGTAGCATCTCCCCTCATTCATATTTCTACTTTCAGTAAGACTATGCTTTGCTTTTTTTGTTTAGTTATGTTTAGCTATGGTGATGACCTCCCTACGTCGTAGCATGTGTTGCTTCGTAAATTAAGTGTGGATACTGCGAGTTTGGGGAATTCGAGGGCATTCCGGGCTATCTTCTTAGCTTCAAACGGTGAAGCAATATGCATAGCTAGCATCTTCCTTAGCGGGCTCGATCGTCTGATATGAAATGAATTGAATTGAATCTAGATAGACGCTTGATGTACACTGCAAGAAAGGTAAGGGAATGGATAGGGGAGAACGGTACATAGACAACACATCATCAAACGATTAACGAGGAAGTGGGCTGGTATTCCCCCCACGCCTAAAGCGTTCAAGCAAGGGATGAGCATTATTTTGACTACCAATGTGGATAAACCTTCTCGGGAACCGTGAAATGTCTTCCAATGATTTCTTCTCCAGAACCTCCACCAAGGTATTCGCCCTGAAAACCATACTAATGGCTGGATTTGTTGCATAGTATACCACTTCACGACCGAAAGAGTCGATGTATCTAACCCGGAAGGCTAGACGTAGGGCCGGATCATCGTGAGCTTCAGAGCTTGAGGTTGCATATAGATTTGTATGTATTTCTCCCAAAGGACAAAGCTCTAGTTTGATAAAGACCATTTCATCTAAGATATCCATATTAGCCGGGAACGGAATCTCGCAATAGTAGATATAGACGTGGCGCTTAAGCTGGTCTTTAAGCTTATAGCTATATTCACGATTCCGGATGTCTTCATTTTTCCACACAACACTTTTCACGCCCTGCCGCTTCTTGTCACTAGCCCCAGCGATGACGGGCTGTGCAGCAGTGACACCGACAGGGTCAAGAAAACCTTCACCTATAACTCTGGCTGTAAGGTCTTGCAGGATATTAATGGGAGCTTCGCAGTCCCTATCTCCTGACTCGGCCTGACACTGTTCTACCAGTCCTCTCATTTCTGCTGCGCCCGTCTGAAATTCTTGACCCTGCAATTGTGAAAAGCATTTCAGTGCTGCGATAGACTCCTGATCAGTGGATGTCGCATCAGTTCCTTCTTTATCAGAGCTAGTAGAACATATCTCCTTGTCTTGAGGCCGCGGTGACTCCGCACACAGCCGAGATAATCGGTTTCTGTAATCTACCTCCCGCTCGTCTAGATGCTTGTGAACGAAGTCTCCTATCTTTTGATACTGCTCCACATTGAAGGAATCATGAACCCTCACCCTTTCAGTGGCTCTTCTGCTAGGCTGCGGGCTTCTTTCTTTGGATTCATTCCCATCACTTTTCGGTCTCCTTGGAAGGAATTTCAAAACCATTAAGAGGCCGCGAGTAAGTGAACCAGCAATCTTCTCTATTTCTTTGATATCTTCAGCTTGACCCATGTTTCTTCTGGTTAGCCAAAGCCGGACACCCTCGTCCACAGTGTCAGCAGTCAGAGCTTCTCCTCCGAGTCTTTCTTTCCTTGCTTGGCGCAAGATATAACCAATAACGCTGCTGTTTTCACAGAAAAACGGTCTAATATCGTACTTTAACGATGGGATGAAGTTAACTGCAAATCTCAGAGCCTCGCTTATCTTGATACTATGTCTTGTGCTAACGGACCAGATCTCTGCAGGTAGAGGAGGACAGCAGATAAAAAGACGATTCCGTAAGGGGTCACGATAGAGTGGGTAGTCAAATCCGCGTAGAGACAGAGTATGGCGCGAAGACCTCACAATGGCTCGTATAAGCTTCTCTGATTGAGGCCCACATAGGAAAATAATCTTAGCTTGGCTGGTTGCGAGCAAAGTTTCATGGAACTTTCTGGCATCAGGATCTGTCAGAATATCATGACCAAGATGCTTAAGACCTATACTCGTAAAATTCTTAAAGTCGTAGGTCCAGATAAGAATATTTCCCTCAGTAAAGCCACATCCATCTAGAGACCATGGGATTGTGAGCATGTGCTGCTTGTCATCACTATTACTAGCCCTCATGGGCGTATCATTCGCCCCTGAAACAGCAGCATAGTCAAGAATTGCGGCCACTTCGGAGGTCAAACTACCACAGAAGGGTATATGAGCCAAAACTTCACTGAAATCTGGTGTTTCCTGTTGTAGCTGGAGTGATTCTCTGACCTTGTTAAAGACCTCTTCGTCATTATTCAGAGCGTTTTGTAATGCAATGTCGAAATCTCTCTCAAAACACAGCCTTGATACTTTCTTTTCCTCTTCTCTTCTCAGCGGCTGCCTTCTGTCGTGAGTTGAAAACAGCCCAGTATTGGATCTGTCGATCTGGCGCCTTACTGGGACCAATGTTTGCCTTGGTCCGAAGTTCTTTGTTCAGGGCCAAATTCCCCTGCACGAGCGGTGACATTATATTGAGACCCCATCCCAAGGTTGAGGCCTTACCATCATTCTGGTACTTTGATCCCAGTCGATTCAACATTCCGTGATGGGTCCTGAAAGCTCTGCAGAACAGGGCCTCAAGTAGATTGCTGCAGGCTTGATACCATCCATCAGTCACCGTGTCCTTGGGAAAACCCCAAAGCTTGATAAACCTAGCATATCGATGACCGTTTCCTATCCACAGACTAAAGTAGTAGAGACTTGCTGTTGATCCCTTGATAATTTGCTGGGCATGTTGGCACACAATCCGCCGCCATGATAAAGAGCATTGGCCTACATATAACCTCCACCATAATGTATCTCGGTCATCACATACAATGCTTGCGTAACCTAAAGGCATATTCCAGGGCTCATTACTATCAATTTGTTGACAGATAATTGCGTTCAGTGCAGTTCTTGTTACTTCATGGCCCTGGAACTGGATAATGTGTGGACTTATAAGGTGGATCAGAGATTCTGTTACTTTCTCCACACCACCATGCTCATCAATGATCTCAAGGTAATTGCAATGAGGCGATGATGATCCCGGTAATAATCCCTGTATAATTTCACTGATCATTTCACTGCACAGTGGCTTAAGGTATGGAAAGATGAATTTTTCTTGCAGTGAAAGCTCCTAAGACTGGTCATTAAAGGGCAGTCGTTCCTGGTAAAGTTAAATACTCACATCCCTCACGCTTTCATCGATAGCAACCCACTTCTTGTCCGAATGCTCGGGTGACTGGACAGATATATTCAGATTTACTGAAGTGTAACGGTCCAATGTCCTCTGTCTTTTAAAAGAGATCAATTCTGATGCTGAGCTCGGCCTCTTGGCGGTGAAAATCCCATGTTGCTTCGATCCCCCTAGCACCGGGTCCAAGCCAATGTCTAAAGCTTCCCAACAGAGTTAGCAGATCTGCATAGTATACAAGAGCTTTCTTTCTGCGTGATAACATACACTCTGACGTATTCGGGCAGATTACTTGATGGTGCCCTTTAATTTTGCATCTTCTGCACGTAATCTTCGTACACTTGATGATGTTATGGTCCCCTTTGCAGTAGATGCAACTCTTAAATTCAGGGCAGTATTTATCAATATGCGCCAAGGACTTGCAGTATTGACACGCTCGTTCCGGGTTATAGGACATGATTCCAAGCCAGTGTGAGCTCGTGCCGTGCGAATGATTTCCTATTGTTTCCTGTGTGGCTGTAGTATGGGATGAGGAAATCTCCCTATACCAGTGTGTGTGGATTTGGCAAGTTTTAGAACACTTACAGTGTTAGCTTTCACTCGCCGAAGCTTCACGGGGCGACGACTAATATCCCACTACTATGGGTGCAGGGAGATGAGACTTCCCGTGAATCCTGCACCAGAAATAGGCAGCTGCCAACTGCATCTACACATCGTGTGTCACATGCCTCATGTGACTTTTTCGTGGCGTCATCATTGTATGATTGAGACCACTCCTAAGGCTACTATTACTGTGAGCCCTGTTGAGCTATATTGACAAGACATGCCTAGGAAGGATGAGGTCAGGGGACATCAACTAACTAATCATTGTCATGTCATCCTGACCAAGGTCATTCTCGGAGTCTGATACGTCACGTAATATGATATGGGATGACCGAGGTCGACCACACAGCCGATGTATTACAAGAATTCAAGAGATCCACTGATAAAGCTATCGGTTTCTGCCAAGCATACTAGAGTTGTAGGAGAGGGGGGATAACTATTTACGTATGACCTGACCCCTTTCAGTCCCCTAGTCTCACGTGAGGCACAAGTTGCCACAAAGGCAAGCTGATATTACATAGTAGTTAGGCTACCCTCAGCCAGACAGGCCCCTGTGGCGCAATCGGTAGCGCGTAAGACTTGCAAGTACTCCCGAGGACCCCTTTACAGAAAACACGTTACTAACTATCTCTGCAGCTAGATTGAGATCTTAAGGCTGTGGGTGATCCCCACCAGGGGCTATTCATTTTTTCCTCTTGCTTGAGGGATCTCCGGGAATGTGGAACACACCGCACTTCCGAAACACCCGCAACGCGCGCTCCCGACCACACGGCCCTGCCACCGATTTGCATACAACGATTTCAATTTATTGAAAATCAAGCGATTATCAACGTATCATACAGATTTGTATATACAATGTTGCTATTCAGGAATAATATTAGCGATTAGGGTCCCTGAGCGGGATGCTGCATATGGGCCATCCCTAATCGAGAGAGGTCATCTTCGTAGCGCCACCAACTGCTTGCTCGGTCGTTGTATTGGGGTCCTGAAGGGGTCGGACCTGTATGGCCAGGAACGCCGTAAGCAGGTGTAGGGACATTCCTCGATCCATGCACCAACACACGGACAAGCGCATGCTGCAGGGAGAAAAAGACAATGGCTAGCTGTGTACCGGTAATAAGACCGTCTATACTATAAATTTCATCGGTGCATCGTTTATAGCTCACTACCCTACTACCTTTGAAAACTTTTACTTCCTGTATCCAGAAGACTGCGTATTAGAGGTCATACTGAATCAGACTGTCACCTTCTCCTAGTGGTAACACGGCTTTTGTCGAGAAGTAATTCTGTTGCATGGGATGGAAGCAGCTCTACTCAGTGTGACTCTTTCTTGACCATCAGACGATCATCCCTCCGTCACAACACGATTGGAACAGTTCTTAGATGAACAAGTTACATCGGTGCTATCATCGAATACTTTTAGCGTGCAAGGAAAAATCATGGGATGAATCATGGGATGAACAGTGGCGCTATAACACAAGACAAGCGATCTACGCGTATTGTCAAGACAAACAGACAACATCATATAACGTCAGTAGTTGCTCGCCATCATAGATCATCTTCCAACAGCCACTTGACCATGAAGTTCACTCCAGGGACCCTTCGCTGGCTGTTGGCTCTGCTGCATTTTGGCCCGTGACCGAGTCACTCGTGCCCCCGACGGCCACATACTGTCCTCGCCCGATTCGCCCTGCCGGTCACGTAAGGTATCCTCCAGATTCTGGTTAATTATACTATAAACATCTTCCAGCGCCTGTTGCGCATCCTGCGCTGTCTCTATCCCTTCCTCCAGTCGGTACCCGACGTATTCTTGTTCGGTCATACCTGCTGCGTCCGAAGCAGATGCCCATGCCTCGGCCAGGTCAACAAGTTGGTCTGGCTTGGCAGACTCTGTACTCGTGGCCTGGTGCAATGCTAGAGTTGCTGTCGCATGTTTGAACCGTGGCTGGCGTGCCAGAATCGGGTACTCTGGGAGAAGGTGGCTTTCATCTCGCAGCCTGCTCAGAATGCGAAGAGTGGTGGTTTTTTCCTTCGCAAGCATACCCGAGAGGTAGAATTTCTGTAGCGCCAATGCGCGCTGGCTCCTGGCCAACGGCTGAAGGACATCGCTGGCAAAAGTAAGGACTCCCAATGCGTCCAGAGATTGTGTTTCCTCTGGTGCATTCTTTCCTTGCACCAAGCTAGTAGGCCGGGATGAGGGCTTTCCAGCCGGGAGAGTAACTGGTTGGCAAGCTCTGGAGGCCGCATCGAGCAGACGCTTGCGAGCATCCGCATATGCAGCGTACTGTTGTGCGATCTGAGCTTTCTTCTCCCCAAGCAGACGCACAGACTCATCCATGTCTTCGGGATGAAAGTCTCGGGAGGCCGACCGGTTCTCATTGTTTCCAGCACTTACTAATTTCTCCTCCACCCAACGCACCAACTCGTTACGGGTTCGCTGTAACGCCACGCCCTTAACTGCGCGTGGAATATCTTGGGCCTCTACGGGCGCTTGTTGCGCCTGAAGTTCTTCTAACAATCCTTTTTCTCTCTCCAGCTGAGCCTTGGCCCGGATAACGGCTTTTTCCAGGTTATGCATCTGCTCCTCGACAGTAAGCCCTGCGGTAGAGCCATGTCGGGTAACTTCGATTTCTGGTGGTGGCGCAAGCTGCTGATAATGGATCCCACTATCCTCTAGATCTGCTGGTTTGGGTGTGTCACGTTGTTTGAGCTCTTTGATGTAGTGTTCAAAAACCTGAAGCTTCGCATGCCGACGACGGTCACGGAGAAGCCGCAGGTATTCCTGTAACTCCGCGGACGAATCCACTGGTAACTTTTCCGCCCGTGGTTTGCTCCTTTCACGGCCCACAGAAGTCACCTTCTCCACAACTGACTGATATTCCTTCCTCGCAGCCACATTCGACTGGAGCGCTTCCAGGTACTGTCTTCGCAACCCTGTCAACTCTGATGGAAGCCGCTTGACATCGACCACCGCTTCGTGAGGCACTGATAACGACAGATGGGATTGACTGTGGCATTCTGGGTGCTCGGTATTGTTTTCTGCGAACACAATATGGGAGCGAAGATATATGGTCAAAGCTTGCCGAATCAGCAGGGCATCCTGGCGGCTTTTGATGTAAGGTGCCAGAGGCTCGGCGATTGAGGGGATGTGGGTGGGTGTTGCGTGAGTCAACTCAACAGACTGCGCCATTGGACTGACTATTTGTGAGCAGATGTGTTTGTCCCGCCGACCTCAAGCTTGCTGGGTTGTCAAGGGAAGGTTTGTCCCTTCGACAAGATAGTCAAAATACCCGTGATGTTGAAATAAGGTTCTCCTGTTGTCATGAAATGGTTGCTGACGGGTGTTATTCCGATGTCGATCACACTAAGGGGTTCCACCGGTTCCCACTCTAGTCCCGGGAAGCTGTAATGAACTCCTTTCCCACCCACGCTAAGCCTTCCACCACGGCCATACGTGCCGTTTATTACTATCAGCTATGAGGGCTACCGGATGGCGCAATAACATGCAAGAGGGGAGCATCGAGGGGTCAGGAAGACGACGAGGTGATCTCGGGTCATGTGACCAGCCCCATTCACAAGTGTTCCCTTCGAGGTTCTGAGGAATACAATGTAGCGTGAGACTACTACTAGTATGAGGAGATTCAATGGTTCTGGACTATTATTACAAAGTCTTCATCGTCCATAGTAGCCCTGGCTGACTTCATGCAAGCTTATGATATGCATACATTTCAAGCTATAAGCCGTGACATGATGATTGTATATATTTACTGACAGCTATAGTACTAAGATCAGATCGCCGGCAACTTATATCATTTACACATCGATCCCATATGTTGTCTTAGATGCTACGCTGCCAGCTGCTCTTCCCAGCCCGATTTACTGAATCACGCTCTGGTTGAAGTACAGGTCGCAGGCATGCGGACGCTGCACACAATACTTGGGGACCAGGGCTGTCGCCTGCACCCCGTTGGCCACTAGATACTCGCGGAAGTTCAGGATGCGCTGGGTCATCAGCGTCGTGCGCTTCTGCCCGTTCTCACGATTCCCAGACCACACCAGCTCCGCCAGCGCAGCGGCACGGGGCCAAATTAGACTGGATACGGTCACATCATCCACTTGCTCTGACCAGAGCGGTGCCTCTGCTCCTATAATGTGCTGAGCCTGGGTAGCGGTCAAATTCTGTGTGAAGTCGTAGTCATAGATCCGCTGCCATGTCTTGTACGGCGCACACCACGAGCCCCCATTGCCACCATAGTTGAAGTTGGGGGTGCTTGCATCGGGATTACTCATTACATCATAGCGAGGGTCATTTGTGAGAAAACCCCCTATCCCACAGTCCAGATACATAAAATCCGCTGATGATACAATCACGTCGTAGCCCTTGGCAGTCAGTTGATTGATATAGTCTAGGCCATTATTCCAGGTCTGCATCACGATATTCGTGGGAACATCATGTGCATGTTCGGTGAATAGTACAATGTCTTCCCACATGACCAGTTGTCGCGAGGTACTGTAGTTCTGGAAGATCGGCACAGCATGGTCGATCCAGTACTGAGCCAGATCATTATAAGTACGCGACGGATCTTGCGCAAACCATTCAGTGACGTAGCTGCTGAAGTTGAAACAGTTAGGCTGGATCTCATCCGCCCCAACATGAAACCAGTTGTCTGGGAAGATACTGGACAGCTCATTGTAGACCTGTCGGATTACCTCATACGTGCCGTCATAAATTATATCCATGTGGCCAGGCGGGGGCTCTACCGCAGTATGCAGGGCATAATTATCATTGGACCACCAGGAGTCGATGCAGGTCACCATCTGGGGGTCAACCTGCTTCCATCCAGAAGCAGAATG